CCGCGACGTCCAATTACAAGTCCGTATGTGGTTGAGCTGTTTTGCATTGAAGACGTTCTTCTGTCTTGAAGAGCACTGAAGAGTGCTTACAAAGGAGCATCGTTATTTCTCCGACCATTTGAGTCAATGCGTTTTCAATTTTCGCCGCAACAAAACTCTCTTGTATACCACAAAACACAGAACATGAGAAGGTGACATGTTGATTTAATTGGACAAAATTGTTCATTCGGGTCGTGCCGATAGACCGGCCGGCTGTTTTGATAATGAATAATCATTGTTAACTCGTGCACTCCATAAGAGCTAGAATTAGAACCGATAGCATGCAGGACTAGTTTCGTTTAGTGAAACTCTGGAATCCCCATCTCCTCAACTATCACTTTCCGAACACTTTTTTCCTTCAGAAGCACAAGTTCCTTTTGTGTGGAATGACGAAGAAACATAGCTTTATGCGAAAATAGTCAGAATCAAGGATCGATATTCTGCGTTAGCATCTCATAGCAACCGCACAGTAAACCCGTTATATGCATGCGAACTTGCTCCGAATCCCTCTAGGATAGATTTTTATGATTCATCCTTTTTCGCTGATGATACCAGTATTGGACATTTAATAATCTAAGAGTAATTATCTAATTATCTAATTAGTAGAGGTAATTGTCTGCGATTCATTCAGATCCAAGCCGAGCAGCGTTTCGTTCTCCACCTACAAGTCTCTGATCAAGTCATATAAGGTATGTTCAATGAAGAATTACAGTGACCACTGATGTGGAGTAGATGGGTCCGTCTTTCTTACTCTTCATTGTATTTTACTATTACACGATCCCTCCAGTAAAACATGTTAAGTGCATGGTTGAATTAGGACAGGTGTGTGCTACATCTGCAAACCTTTTCGCCGTTCCTTCCTTATTTCCTTCCCCAATTTTTCACGACTTGTTTCCGAATCGGACGAAGACGCGAAACAAGTGCGGTGTTTTTGATGTAAACTAACTCCTGCTTGACTGCTACCCCAAAATGCTTCTTTCCCAAGAGCCAAAAAACAGTTTTTCCTAGAGCTAGAAATTCATCGTTTTTTTTTGTTGTGTTTGTGTCCTTCCAGGCTTTTCTTGGAATGTTTCCTTGTAGGCTCGAGTCTTTGGCGTGTAATAAGGAATCTAGATACCGTAATTGTGCTAATTTCTCGTTTTCGATGCTCTTTTCTGCTTTTCCATCCACGAACGTGCAGGTGTTTTATCGATATTTTACCGCGAAGTTTTTTTTTCTTTTGTTAGAAAACTTGCCAACCCGTAATTCTAGTGAGATCTTGACATCCCAAGGGGCTTTTTCCCGCTTCTCCAGTTGCTGGCGGTATGCATAAGGCTTGTTGGATCAGTGGAAGCTAATATCTCTTTTGCTCAAACATGATTATCTTGCATGCTCTCTTGAATCGATGTGGTGTGTGTCTGAGCTAGATGGAATTCGTTTTGTTATGAAATCATGCGTTGTATGTTTGATAAAAATAGCCGCGCTAGCGTGGGCATGCTTAGACGCTATAAATCAAAATGGGGGTGTGAAAGAGTTTTCTCTCTAAGATGGACCACAATTTCTAAGAAATCTGAATGCAGACTCTTGCCTTAGACTCTTTTTTCTCAATGTGAGCCTTGCTAAATGTTTTTTTAGAATATATTTCCGTTTATTTCTATATTCGTAGTTTCTTTCTTTTAACGATTTCCCTTTTACAGTTTGAATTGTGGGCTGGAAATGAAGTTACTCCACGGGAGCTAGCCGTTCATGGGTGGGAATGCAAAGCCCGTGATCAGGTACAATGCATTGCATGCAAGCAGTTTCTTTGCACTTCCGTTCCAAAAATCACTGAAGTTGACATCAGTGTATACACCAAATGCATGAGGTAGGTTACACTGGCAAGCGATCCGTTAAAAAATTTTACTAATTTATTTTTTTCTTGCTAACAAGTTCTTTTCGCTGCGATTTGCCATGACAATGTTATCACAACAGTGCTGAATCATGAACAAAACGTCCGGTCTTACTCGAGCTTTAAGCTCGCACTTACGCTTCCTTTGTACTAAGTTCACCCACTACTAGACTTATGGTTAGTGAGCTCTTTACAGCTTTAATTTCCAATAATAAGTGGATAACCATGTGACCGGAAGGCATAAGTGCGTGTTCGCGCCCTGTTTGAGGCCGAACGTTTTATTCTCAGTCGCTGTTCTTGTGATAAATACCAAACGTTCTTTTCTTTCAACAAAAATTTGTCCCGCAAGGTCAAAAGGACTTTTTTCAGACGGGTCCGCGAGAAAATAGTGAGTTCGCATGTGCTTACATGCATATACAGATCGGAACCACTTGAATTCAAACACTATGTTGATGAGAACTTCTTAAACGATGTGGTTCGGAAGAGGATCTCCTCATACAATAGAGATGGCCTGAGAATGAACATGGTGAGCACTCATATTTTTCAGGTTTTGAAAAATTTCGAGGAATATACCAATTTGTGGCTGGTCAAACTTTATATAAAACAGCATATACCGTAGTAAGTGTCCGGCAAAATTCTGAACTCTTCAATTTTCTTCGATCGCATGGTTCATTAGTTCATTTCGGGCGCTTGACATATCGATCGTTG